CAGTGTTCTGGAACAAACTGGTAACAATTAGCTACTCTTGTAGCTCCCCTGACACCTGTTTTCCCTCCAAGCTCTCTGTCTCTGCAGGTCTCTATCTAAAGCCTGTCTAAGTGGGCACTGGCATCTCTCTCCAACCCCAGTCAGCAATCTGGAGGAGGGTGGGATACTCTCTGTATATAGCAGTCAGCCTGTCTTGTGGGGTAAGGCTGGAGTGTTTTCCCTAGCCTTCTGACTTTTCATGCATTCCACAACGTTTATCATAATCAGTGTTTTCCCTAGCCCTTATCACCTCCACAACTTTTATGGTATTGCTGTGTAGCCAAGCCTAATCCTTCTAAACTCCCATTGTTATTATGCATTCCTCATGTTTGCCTTTGTGGTACCTTAGCTTCTACTACATACTCTATATACCACTCACCTACTTTCTACTATGTAGGTTTTTGGCCTTCATTTTTGACTTCAGCTGAGTAGACTTCCCCAAAAGGGTGAACTCTTCCCCACAACAAAAAAAACCTATCACTCTCCCCCTTGCAGGGTCTGGGCTACACTTCAGGTATGTAGTATGTACTATGTTCTTGTAGCCCTAAAAAGTGAGCTCATTGAGTTATGAATTCCTCTTTTTACACACATATTATATCCACAGACAACTCACCATGACATTCACCAGAGGTCTATGCACACAGGAAACCAGTTCAATGCGGTTGGTTGCACCACAAGTGTACCAATGTGTATATACTAATAATAGAGACTGTATAATATACATGGACTCTGAGCATGTTGGGGAAGGAGAGGGGGTCCCTGCAATTTTATTGAGGTGGCTTCCCCATTTTATGCACTATAGTTAAGGGGCTGTAACTCCACTAAATTCAGGTGGCACACTAGGTGAATGTCTGTGTGTACTACTGTTTACACTTACAGTTGTGTTGTGGATAATTACAGTTGGCTACCCTATGTTTTCCCTCATCCTCTTATATACCCTCATGGTGCAGGTGCAGTATGTTATACCTGTATAGTCTCACTCCTCATCTGTCACTGGTATATACGCCAAATCCACTATTCTACACCACACCACACGATATCAGCCACACGCGTACTACAATACGGGGATAAAGTATGCGCGGCACTTTTGATCCGCCCACCAAAGTCACAATAAGTTGCCTTATTGTCACACCCTTTATACTGTCCTGAAGAGTGTCCCACCACCTTCTCTGATCACCTCTCTACAGGGTTACACCTTCTCCCCCAGCTCTTCCAAACTGGTGTATACTGCTGTATACAATATACTTCTTGTGCAGCTGTGGAGGCACCCTCACCTGTCTAGGCCAGCCCCCATTTATATAGGTAATTTAATTTGTCCCCTACTTCCCCAGAAACTCATTAGGACGTTTACCTTGCTACATTTTCTTGGGAGGACCCTATATCTAGGCCTTCTTTGGGGCTACTCAGCAATGGGATACTTTAGCCCAGTTTTCTGTATAATATTATTTTTTGACATACCTGGAATTCCCTCCACAAACCCATCTGTTCTTTCTTCCCATACAGGGATACCCTGCTTGAGGTGGACACATTATCACAATTCTCTTAACTCTCTCTGTGTATTTTTCTCCAACCAAAAATGGACATTTTATTTAGGAGACAACTATCCTATGATATAACTTCCTGAAAAGTTGGTGTTACTACCGCATGCGCGACAATACGCCGCCAGGTCATAATAACAGTTCGGGAATCCGTATAAATTCCGCAGAAAGCGCTGACTCATCAGAGGAGGTTGTGCACAATCAACATTCCTAAGAAGTTCGCGCATGCGGTTAAAATGCAATCGAGTCTCGTAGCTCCGAAAGGAAGTGCCTCTGGCTGGTATCTCAGACGGGCCAAGACCTTGGTATCTCTCGATTGTTTATATTATGTCCAAGTGTGTACCACGGAGAATACCCGTATATAGCCTAGGTGCCGTTCTGCAGAAAGTGCTGACTCAGCGGGTTGACTGGGTTGCGTGGCCGTGGGCGCATGCATACAACTCTAAGGCGCACGTGACGCAACCGATGACGCGTGCACAACCGCTCTCGATCTTCTGGCGCCCTGCGCGCGGTGCGCTGACTCTAGCTCTCTCTCTCTATCTAGCTCTATCATCATCAGTGTTATGGCGCACGTGATTCATCCCGCGCGTGCGCTGTCGCC